TTCATTTGTATTATATTTCAGCAAGGATTTAAAAATTGTTATTTTTATATTTATTTCCTAGAGTCCAATATTTGGGGAAATGGATATATATGCATATGTACCGTGATAGTATATGTTTGGTAATCACCTATGAATTGTTTTTTGCAGAGTGCCTTGGTGTATTCCTTTTCCTACTATCCTGACATACCTGCATCAATACATTTGAAAATAGTATAAAGTGTCTTAACAGGTAATTGGGATTATTCTAAGTCTGAGAAGATATCAAGCAACTTCGGTCCTCTGTATGCATAGCCATTTTTTAAAGTGAATTTGGTGGAGGGCAAGAAATATATGGTAATGCCATGTTTTTAATTGTTGATGGGAGAGGGAGAACTGTGTGCTCTAGTTCTGCAGTAATTAGTGACTTATGGACATTGTCTTCAGGGATTTCACAAGGTCAAGGTTGTAGGTGGACCCACAAGTCCAAAAGCATGACCTCTGCCTGCACCCCCAATCCCACCCAGCTGTCTTACAGCTCTGCGCTGATGGTCGCAAGGTTGAGGACGAGGGGGACATAGCCACAGACAAGTGCAAAACTATCCCTGCCAGCAACAGCCTCACTCTTGATCTACCTAATGGGGCCAAAAAAATGGCAAATCCTCAGCATCTTCTTCATAAATGAAGGAGAACATGTTATTGCAGACATCAATTAGTGGGAAAAGGAAGAATTCCTAGTTTGGGAAGCAATTTGCCATTTTGAAAATCAAACTTGGTAAGCAGGGTTACATAGAAAACAGTCCTGGAATACTGCTTCTATGTCATGCCCTGGCATGTTTGGAAATATTTCTGTTTTTCTGGAATTTTACATGATGCTAGTTTTACTATATCTGTGTAACCTGCATGAAAATTGCCTAAAAGTTAAAAGACTCTGTGTAGTGAAGCCAAAATTCCATACATACAAGCCAAACAAAGCATATTTACTTTGAGTCATATTTTATCATGTGTGGCAGTAATGGATTCCAGCTAGACACAGTGTATATTTTCCCCTAGTTTTGATGTTCTTTAATCTTAACACAGCAACAGAGCACAGGATTTATTTTCCCCAGTAGAATCTATTGCAAGTTAGAACCACCTTGTTTTCTTGAATTCCACTTGCAGGAGTACTTTGTCTTGGGAAACGGAGCTAGAATTGAGTGAAAAAAAAAATAGCACATCTTGATGAACTATGGCACTTGGCAAAAGTGGTTTCCACCCAGGGCTGACACAAATCAAGATGGGAATGTGATCCTTCATACCTAATTGATAAAAGATTTCTCAGTGCACCCTATGAATCATTGACTCCCATAAATGAAAATAAGAGGTCTTTTGGCACTGCAAGGCAGTGAAGTTTCTGGACTAACACCAGTTATTATGGAGCAGTTTCATACATACCAACAATTTAGGAAAAATATGGTTTGTTATGTTTTGTCATTGCCCTTGTAAAAATCTATTACTTTATACAGTGCAGTTTACTACATTGCTAATACTGCCTCATCATGTAGGGGCATTTTGGGGGTGTTTTTAAAGACCAGCACTTTTAGTAGCATAAAACCAACAGAGCCTGTGTAACTCCAATTTTGATTTTAATTCTTCCAAGATGCTTTTTTAAAAAAAAATTTATGCCAAATTAGATGTCATTTTGAAAGCTTACATTTTAATGAGTATTTGTTTACTTATTTAAATCCATGCTTGGAATCTCAGAAAGTTTTTGAAAGCATTGGTATTTTTCAGTGTTTTCAGTCTTCAAGCAGATTATAGAATATTCTATGTGGAGTCCCTACCCCCATAGATAATAATCCCCATAAAACCTGTGAGGTTGGATTTTATTTTTGATTCAATGGAAACTCACTACTAGCTCATAATAGATGCATTAATTCATGACAACAAATGTGTTGAGTTTACTATATGCTTAGTGATCATACTCATAAAAAACCGGAAGACGAGCAAGGCTGGGATGTTATTTGTTATTTCAAATGACAATCTGTATTTTGGTCATAAATAGAACTATCAAGTTGGTTGTGTGTGACTATGGGAATATAGGGAGGAAAAAGTGTTTTTCATACTGAAGTATCTAACTAACAATTGTCTTATCTATTTTCACAAAAACAAAAAAAACTTCAACCAACAGAGATTTCTCATTGGATTTACTTTCTAGAAAAACACATTTTAGTTTTGGGGCCCAATTTAAATTTCCATCCCATTTTTTTTTTCCTCTAAAGAATAAAGCATTTATTTTGGTTATCTATCCTTAGGTAGTTTTGAAGCTATAAAAATGAAGGATTGGATAGGAAAATGCCATCTTTTTAAAAAGGAAATTCAGTTCTCAAAATACACTTGGAATTATAGGCAGACCTTGCTTAGCTTATGCAAAAAATTATGGAAACAGCTGGATTACTTTAGATAACCTCGTATTGTATAATTACTATAGTATATCAATATAGCAGTTTATTCACATGTGTGTAATTTTCATTACAAGGTTCCATTTGTTCCATTAAGAATATAAATGTGGAATGTAAAACATTTCTATAGGGTAAGGTGAAGTCTATGTATCTTGTACATGTGGATATTCATTAAATAAAGCCTTCTTTGGAAGCCTGTTCTGGAATGACGTTTACTACCTCTTCACATGTGGCTTGAACCTGCTCCTGCCACCAGATTAAGTGGAAAAAAATGAGGAAGGCAAGAAGAAAGGAAAAAAAGCAGAAGTAGTTTTCACCCCTTGTATAATACTTGTAGTAGCTCTCTCCTCCTTGCATTTTGACAGTGAGCCCTTTGAGATAAAAACAAACGGCCCTTGATTAGTCCTTACGTTTTGATCTATTTTGCCTTTAGAACAACATTGCCATTTTCTGGTGGAAAACACAATCTGTAACCCTCTGTAATAGAAACCAGTATTTATCAACAAATTCATAAACCTAGGGTTAAGGTAGGACAGAATGGATAAAATTGATATTCAATTGTGTTGTCTCATCCCAGCTAATTTCAAAGGTTAGTCATGATTAGAGCTAAAACTGAGTATAAATAAAGGGTCATGTACCTATGGGGCTACTTGAAGTTTACTGATTTGTAGTAATCCTTTGTCACTTCTTTTCATTTCCTATGATGCACACTATTATATCCATTGCAGAAAAGAATTATTTGAACATTCAATCAATTTTATCTGAATAATTCATCCTAAGGGCATTACTAAGTGGACCTTATTATGATATACCCTCACATAAAGCATGATCTCATGGCAGAGATAAAATGAAAGTGCTATGTTTAGGCTTCCACAAAAGTCATGATGGTAACTTCTTTTTAACACATGTAGTGAAACAATGTTTGGGAGCTCAAAATGATTGTCTTAAATGAGGGTGATGCATTGGTTTTGCCTGCTAATGAGTAGAGAATAAAACAAAGGTGAGGTAGGTATGGAGCAAGGTGGGCAAAGGTGGCTGAGATGGCAGGTATGGTTCATTCCTTGAGTCACTCCCTGCAGTCTAACTAGTACTAATACCATTTGTGTTAGTCTGAGTATTCTAGAAGTAGAGGCCAAGATGGGATGAGATGTGCAAGAAATTTATTGTGGATCTCTTGAAGTTTTGCACGTCGTGTGAGCAGAACTGCCTTTGCTCCAGCCTATCTGCCCATGCAAGCTTACAGTGAAAAGCCTTGGAAAATAGATATTTTGTCTTTATCCAGAGTATAGAGCAGGTTGTTTACTGTCCATGATAATAAAAATGATGTCTCTCTTCAAGGAAAAGATCAGGTAGGCCTACTGCTCATTATAAAAAACTCAGGTTCCCTAAGCTTGGAGAACCTCTCTCATAAAACCAAAACCAAGAATAACTCTCCTTTTTCCACTGCATGCAGGTGACAACCTGGCTCTCTTAATGTCACCCTGTGGGATTTGGGGCTTGAATAACTAGGGCAAATGCTGATAAATGGCTACTGCTATTGCTGTAGGCAAAAATCTATCCTTTGTCTCTGATCCAAGAGTCTCTTGTCTGCTATCAGCATCCATGATATGATGGCAGGCTAACTTGCTAGACTGCAAGCAGGGTTAAGTTTCAGATCCTCCAGAATTCCTGGAGAAACACCTATGAGAGGAAATAGGGAGAACACTGAGGTAGCCTTGGACAACTGTCAGACCATGATATAGGCCTGGCCTTGTATAGGAAAGACGAAAAGAAGGAGTGTTGGGTAGAAGAATCTCGAACTGTGTGCAAGTTATAAGAAAGTTTTGGCAAGCCTGATAGCGAGTCCTCCAGCCACTTGTCACTCTTCAGAGCTGTCCCACACCTCACAAGAGCAGCTATCTATAGTATCCCTGTGCCCGTTCAGTCATTCGCTTGGAGCAGCCTGTGAGAAGCATGGCCTTGGATCAAAAGTGGTGGAGGATTCTGAACATAGCAGCTGGTGGCATCAGTCAAGTATTTTCCTTATCGCGAGAGATCCGAGAGGCACATGTTCATGGCTGCCACATCAATTCAAAGTCCTGTGATTCCAAAACTTCTTTGCTTAAAACAAAGTTGGCCTCACAATAATTCAAAGTGTTCAGAAAGCCTAGAGCAGGGCATGTTTGGAGGTTAAGTTGAGGAGTGCGTTGGGCAGAACTCTTGGTTGTAAGCACCTGAAACCCAACTCATACCACCTTAAGGGAAAAAAAGGGAGTTTATGGTTTCCTGTATGTAATTGAAGAGCCAGAGGTGGTGGGGGGGTATGTTTTAGGGATAGATGGACTGGGAGAGCAGATGACGCCCCTTTATCCCTCTTCAGCTCTGTTTTCACATGTGGTTTTACATGTGGTTCTCTAGACACTTATTCTTCTTATAGTTATTAACACCACAGAAAAGAGAAACTCTCCTCTCTGGTGGTGCCAGCAGAAGCCCTGGCCCTGACACTCATTGGCTCGGTTTGGATGAAGTCCCTTGCCAAAACCAATTGCTCGGCTTGGGGAGCACTGTTCTCTGATTGGTCGGCTTTAGCCACGTGCTCAGCTTTCTGCAGGGAGAGGTGAGTCGAGTCCAATCCCGGGCGACCCAGCAGAGTGGAGGAGCAACAGTTGCTAAAAGGGAATGATGGGTAAATAAAAGTCTTCGCCAGAGAGCAGGTAGGCTTCTTCTCAAATCTTCAGGGACGGTGATGACTTTTTGAGATGGGTAGACTGTGGGTAAAGCAGCTGAGAAGTTTGGTGATTAGTTGAGAATACAGTGGTTTAAAAAGGTGTTGACAGAGAAAGCGGATGAAATGAGTGTTACGGCGTTGGATTTGGGCGCCTCTCGGGCAGGGTAGCACCTGCACGTTACGCATGGATATCTCCTGCATCGCTGTAACTCTTGGCAATAAGATTTTAGACACCAAAATACATCTTCAGACAGCATGCCCTTTAGGAATAGGTGTTATATGCTGGAACATGGAGACATAAATAGATAATGAGACTTTTAGAAACTCAGAAGACACATAGTGGACTTTCCCCCTCAGTTCTGTTGCTCTTTGGAGCAGAAGTGATATAAAATTTGTTTTCCAGAATATTTGAGTTAGTAATTAGTAAGTTTGGCTCTGTGAAGTCTGTCTTTAAATATGTGAGGTTGCATAGTAGTTTTTGGACCCCAAACAGGCTGGTTCTGTTTTTCCACCCCCTTTGAAGTTCCAGGTGTCAACTGACTAATCTGATGAATAAACCGTTGGGGGTGCCTTTTCCCCAGTATCTTCCTGGAATAAGTGGTCTCAAAATGTCTTTTCTAACTCATTTGCAGAGTCAGCCGTGGTACTGAGTAAGACTAGGAGTTAGAGTAACTGTGTTCTGGATTGTCGCTCACTCTTGTGTGTTCTTAGGCAAACCTGTTAGCCTCTTGAGGAAAATTGGCATAGTAATACATTTTCTTAAAGAATTGTTAGGCCAAACAACTGAGATAATGCATGTGAAGCTGTACCCAGATGTAAAAGATGAGTGTAAAAGGTGAGTATTGTAATCGCATTGTTCTCAGGGGCAGGGAATTCAGGCCAAAGGTGGAGATAAGATGCAATCATCAATTTTGTTTCTTTCAAATTATACCAAACAGGGTGGATTCTCTTCTGCCTACACCCAGAATGGCCTCTGCCATTTAGTGTGATCTAAAATGAGTTGGGTTTTTATAATTCAGAATTTGGTCAAATCTGCAGATCCCCATGAGTGGTTCTACAAAGGGACTCACTACATTCACTTCTCTTTGTTTCTGTAGTTGTCAGTCTCTAATTTATTTCCTCTGAGAGTTTATCTCACCATCAACTCATTAGTGGCTTAATACGGGGTAAGCTGATTATAGGCAATCTGAACAGCGAATGTTCACACTGCAGAGCTATCAAGCTAATCATAGTTTTTGAGATTATAGTTGACCCTTGAACAACATGAGGGTTTGGGGTGCAACCACCCTGTGCAGTTGAAAATCTTTGTATAACTTCTGACTCCCCTAAAATTTAACTAATAGCCTACTGTTGACTGGAAGCCTTACTGATAACATAGTTAACACATATTTTGTATGTTTTATGTATTATATGCTGTATTCTTACAATAAAGCAAGCTAAAGAAACAGAAGATGTTATTAAGAAAATCATAAGGAAGAAAAAATGTATTTACAGTTCATTAGGTGGAAGTGGATGATCATAAACATCTTCATCCTCATAGTCTTCACTTTTGAGTAAGTTGAGGAGGAGGAGGGAGAGGAGGCGTTGGTCTTGGTGTCTCAGCGGTGGCAGAGTCGAAAGAAAATCCATGTATAAGTGGACCTGAGAAGTCCTAATGCAGGGTGTTCCAGGGTCCACTATATTTCTCCCGTATCTATCATCTCAGCTCATGCTGTTGGATTTCATGTGTACAAGCATCACCAGTATCCTTCCCATCCTGGGAACTTGCACACACTGTGGTCTTTCCAGAAAAAAGAAAAAAGAAAAGGTATCATGGAGCCATATATCAGGGAGAAAGGAAACAAAATTATTTATACATTACCACTTGGTTCTCAATTTGTTGCTTGATCGAAATGTCCCAAGATTTAGTCTGAAAGAAAATGTGAGATACTGTTACCAAAGAGCATTGGGGATTAGTTGGAGAAGGTAACTAAATTGGAAACAAAGAAGACTCACACTGAGTACCCAGGGAGAAATGAAGGAATTTGAAACCCATCCGAATCCTTTCCTTTTAGTCTGTCTCTAAGAGGCTAAAACATCTGGTGAATCACGTCAATGATTCAATCAATCATCCCTGTGTTTGGTTTTTATGATGCCAGACATCTGGATTGACTGAATTTCTCTTTTCTTTAATTAAATCAATTGCATGTTTTGGCTTCCTACAAAATCAACTTCAGTTTAAATAATACACACCACTGTCCTATATTTGTACTCTTACTCAGTTTGCATACATCTTGTTTGGGTTCTAATTTCTATTAATATAACCTATAGACTTAAAATAGTTTTGAATATTATGTAATACTTTTGAACATGAATATGAAGGTATTAATAAATAAATTAGAGAAACAAAATTGATTTGACTGTTCTACTTTTCTCTAGAAGGCAACTTGGATGTTACCTACTGATGAATGGAAGTTGAGAGAGTTAAAGAACAATGTTAAATAATTACACAGCTAGTGCTCAGCAGAGATCAAAATATCCTCTTTGATGTAAGGACAGCTGGCACCCACAGTAATTTCAACTGTGTGTAACAAGAACACACAATTTATATAATTTATGCATTCTTAGGCTTTTGAGTCCATAGGAATTTGGTCTGGTTTTATGTTATTTTCAAATATCCTTTGCATTCTTATCTGGAAAGGCTTCTGGGCAACTTAATGACTAGACAAGATTTAAAAAGAGATGAAAAGAAACCATGAACACAGACTGGTTTAATGAAATATTATATTTTCTAGTAGAGAAATCAAACCTCAAAATAGAAAAACAACATTTATTTCTCTAAATATATGACAGAAAACAACTGAAGAATTTTGGAATAACATCTTATACCTTACTCTTTTATGATGTTTTTGTGGGGCCTGCCCAGCATATGAGTACAAAATAGATGCTGTTTTCGCGCTTACAGTGATTCTGTTTTTTGATTTTAAAGAAATAAAAGATTAATAGAGAATAAAGTATATCTCTGTGCAACTGTAGTTAATTTGTCTGTCTTTGCAAAGACAGATGAATTATGGTTTTAGGATTCTTATTATAACCATTTGAGCCAAAATTGTCTAAATATTTTATATTTGTGTTGTGAGATCTGTCACGTGGTCCAAACACAATATCTGGATGTCTTCATTGAAACTAGGCTTCATTCCTGCAAAAAACCCCCCAATGTACCCTGAGTCAGATCAGTTGCTAAAATAAAAATTAAAGTCCACCTTGATCTACTCTGTCAGATATGAATACTTACTTCTTTATATTTTTTCTAGAATTGATTTTGCAGGTGTATCTACTGCATTAAACATCTTTATCAGGACTCTTCAAGGATGCTGTATCAATAAATAGAATGTGCCAGGCAGGCACTCTAATGCACAATTTATGTATATTATCTCTTAGTTAATCACAACAAGTCTATGGGGTAGGTACTACTATTAACTTCATTAAACAGAGGCTAAAACTAAATCTCAGAGAAGTTAAGCAACTTGCTCAAAGTTAAATAATTTAATTTTGGATTAAGAGTAGTTATTTAAAAATATATGTACATAATACATAAACACATATTCATTGCAGACATTTTGGAAAAGATAAGATATTAAAAAAGAGAGAGAGAAAAGAATATTCAGAATGCTATTTCCCTGAGATAGTGACTGTTACTTTTTGGTGTACCGACCTATATACATATACACATATACATATATATATGTGTATATATATAAATATTTAAATAAATACATCCACATATATTGTGTAACTTTCTTTTTTTATAAGTATAATTGGCAAGTTCTTCCCTATCATTATGTATTTTTTAATCTTCAAGGAGGACCAAACTCTCTCTGTAAAGGGCCAGTTGGTAAAAAGCTTGATTTTTAGGCAATACAATCTTTGTTGCAACCACTTTACTCTGAGAAAGTGGCCATACAAAATACATAAATGCATGAGTGTGCCGTATTTACAAAATAGGCAAAGGGTCAGGTTTAGCTCAGGAGCTGTGGTTTGCCTTATTTCATGGCATCATGTTTTCACATGATACCAATAGTAGTTTATCACATTGCCAAAATATTATTTAGTTATAAGTCTTTATTTAGTTTGTGTTGGCTTAGTAACAATATTGTGATGAAACTTATAACTGAAACTTGGTACATTGGAACATAGGCACTAGATTTTTCTCAAGATAATTTCCCAGAAGTAGACTTTCCGAGTCAAATGGAAAATCTTTATAAAGTGCTTGATATGCATTGCCAAATTACTGTCCACAGAGTTGTAATTTGCATTCTCACTAATGGTGTAAAGAAGGGTGTCTCTATCCATACTCTTATGAACAATGTGTACAATGAAGTTTAAAAGTCTTTGCCAATTTGATTGGCAAAACAGTATCCAATCTGATAGGTAAAAGCAATTTCAAAACACTTTTTTGAACTTTCATTTTCGATTGATTATTATGGAGCTTCATCATATTTTCTTTCTTTTTCTTTTGCATGTTTAGTTGTTAACTGTAAATCAGCTATTTCCTTCATGTGGGCATAATTTTATGAGGGAAACATGTAAATTTAGTTTTAGCACATTAAATGGCTTATATTTATAGTTAGATTAACACATAAAGTGTTAGATTAACACAGAGGTGCTACTGAAATTGAAATTGTCCCTGCATGTCTCTGTTCATCCACTGTAATGGTAAATAAACTATTTCTTTTCTAATCTTGCTGCCTTTGAGTCTTGCTCATAAAATAAGGATACGTCTTTCCTGAAGATTTCTGTTCTTCATTTCTCCCTCACTGGATCTTCCCTATGGAAGGCACACTTTATTTGATTTACTGGAAGGAAAAATTCTGACATCCTGTTATCCAGATTTTCTAAGTGGTGAGATAAATGTACTAACGATCACAGGCATTGTTATGGGTTAAATTGTGCCCCCCCCCCCCAAAAAAAAGATATGTTGAAATGCTAAGCCCTGGTACTTGTGATTGTGACCTTATTTACAATTAGGGTCTTTGTAGATGTAATCAGGTTGCGATGAGGTCATTAATGTGTGCTTTAATCCAGTGTGACTGTTATTCTTATAAGAAGTGAAGGCAGAGAGAGGTAGATGGCCAAATGAAGATGGAGGCAGAGATTGGAGTTGTGTAGCCACTAGTCAACGGATGCCTCAGACTACCAGAAACTGAGAGAGACGAGGAAGGATCCTCTCAGAGAGGTTCTGAAGAGAGCATGGTTCCTACTGACATCTTGAGTTTGGAATTGTAGCTCTAGAACTGTGAGATAATACATTTTTGTTATTTTAAGCCACCCAGTTTGTGGTACTTTGTTATGGAAGTCCCAGGAAATGTACACAGGCGTGAATGGTCATGAACTCTTTTGGAGAGGGGGCCTCCATAGGTTCCACCCACTCTTCTGTCTTTTAAGTGGAACTCTAATCCGAGTAAACTTTGTCTCCCTTATGGCTGATCTGCCTGTGACCAGAGGGTTATTTATTTCGGGAAGGAAGGAGGGACAAACTCTCTAGGCCCTGTTTCTTCAACCTCGCCATACCATTGTTAAAGCTGATATTTGAATCTCTTGTGTTCTTTCCTCCAGAAATCTTCACAGGTGGTGCATGGTACTGAAAACTTCCAGAAAGACATGGGCAGGCTGGCATTTGGTGACCAAGTCTACTCCTGAGATGCTCAGCTGCTTGCTTTGGCTGTGGTGGCTGGTGTCCAAGTAGGCATGCAGTTGGCGGGGCTCAGGTGTTAGCAAGCACGGCTTCAGGGCCCTCTGTGGCTGATATTGACCAGAGAAGGCATGTTTTTTTGGTCACATCTGATAAAGGAGACTTTTGCAGCTTCACTGAAGTATAATTGGCTAATAAAAATTGCATTGAACGTGTATAATGTGATGATTTGGTACATATACATTGTGGAATGTTCACCACAATTGAGATAATTAACGTATCCATCATCTCACATAATTACCTTTTTTTAAAAAAATTTTTTGGTGGTGAGAATTAAGATCTACTCTCTTAACAAATTTCAAGTGTGCAATACAGTGTTAATAACTTTAACTATAGTCACCTTGCTATATATTAGATGCCCAGAACTTATTCGTTTTTATAACTGAAAGTCTGTGCCCTCTGATCAACATCTCTCATTTCCTTTCCCATGCCTGCCCTCAGTCCCTGGCAGTACCACTCCAGTCTCTGCCTCTATGGGTTTGACTTTGTAGATTTCAAATATAAGTGAAATCATACAATATTTCTCTTTCTGCATATGGTTAATTTCACTTAGCATAATGTCCTCTAGGTTTATCCATGTTGTTGCAAATGACAGGATTTCCTCTTTTTTTATGGCTGAATAATATTTCACTGTATGTGTATGTATATATATGTGTTTGTATATATATATGTATGTATATCACATTTTCTTTATTCATCTGCTGATGGATACTTAGGTTATTTCAATATCTTGGTTATTTTGAATAATACTGCAATGGAGATGGAAGTGCAGACATCTCTTTGAGATACTAAATTCACTTCCAGTGGATACATGCCCAGAAGTAGAATTGCTGGATCGTATGGTAGTTCTATTTTTAATTTTTTGAGGAACCTCCATACTGTTTTCCATAATGCCTGCACCAGTTTACACTCCTATCAACAGTGTACAAAGGTTTGGAAAGGGAAATTTTTAATTCTAGTTAAGTCTTACCTTAGAACAGACAATATGTTGTATAGGCTATTTAGGCACTGTTGGGGAAATGACTTATTTCCTTTTATCTTTAACTTTATTTTTAGCCAGAACTTCAAACTATAAAGGTAGGTAATTTTCCAATGGATCTCAGAGAACTTGTGCATGAGCTTTCAACATTTCATTAATACTCAGTTTTTTTTTTTTTTTTATCATGGATTAGTAGCACAAGGTGAGCTAACCCATATCTATTTCTTCTTTTCTTATTTTGAACTACTTTGAGGGATGAGGAAAGACCTATGGAAGGATTAACCTCATGAATTCTGGATGCATCAAGAAGAGTGATTACATTAGAGAGCTAATCTTCTTGAATTGAGAAAAGTACTTGGTGATATTATTACAGACTCAAAAGCTTGGGAGCAAATTTAAAAGCCTTATTCCTGGAACACTGTTTCTAGAAAAGCATACACGAAAAATCCAGGAGGGATGGGTTTGGTGTACATAATATGCTTTGGTCTTAATGTCAAAACATGAGCAGTAAGTAAGAGAGAGAAAACAAAGTAAGTTACACTAATTTAAGGGGTGGGGGCAGGCGAGAGATTTTCTTATTAGAAACATTAAAGTGTGATATATGGGCACAAAGGAGATTAATGTAGATTTAACTGCTTATAAAGATGGGATCAGGTGCTCTCAGTGATGAGGTTGAAGAGTCTTGGGTTGGCCAGAGGACATGGGGGATACTTCGGCAAAACTGAGAGGTGAACAAAGCCAAGCCAACCAGAGTGCATCCTGGGCCATGACCAAGCTGGGAGAGACCCAGGCCCTGAGTCCCACCATCTGTAACTCCAGCAACAGGCAGCAGCTCAATGGGCAGGGATGAGGCCAGGGACAGAGCAGCAGGGACCAGTGTGGGGTGTCTGGGCCAGCCATTCAGTGGCAGAGCCCAGGTGCACACAAACGGCAGCATGTGCATTCCAGGTCTCCACCTCTTCCTCTCTATCCTAAGGTGCTGTTGACCATGCCCCTGCATCATGCAGCCAGAGGCCTTCTTAGAGAAGAACAGGATCCAGGAGAGCATTTATCTCCAGAAACTGTTGAGCGTATTGCTTCAAACCAAGTGTTTCCCCCCTGCTACCCATCAGATGAATGTCACAAATGATTGCATTATAGATAAGATTTTATTTCTCAGAAATTAATAGAGAAAGTACCTTTTTCACATTTGTGTGCAGTACAAAGTAAATTGGGCCCTCTGGTACACAGAGATTTTATTATACAAAATGGATTCACATGCGATATGCTATTTTGTAGCTTCAGGAAGGGGCAAGCCTTTCCCATACCTCATCCCTAGTTTGTAAGCTAACACTACGACCTCCATGTGCTCACCCTTCACTTTTGGACTCATCCAGAGTGAGTGCTCTTTGCTCATTGAGCTAATGCAGAAAAGGAAAGGGACATACTTGAAGCTAACATCTCTCCCCCAAACCTTCCCTTTATCCAGTTTGGTTGTCAGCAAGGTCTCAGGGATATGCCTTGTGTGCAGAGACCTAACTTGTGTCTCAGGCCTGGCGTCCGGCTGGTGCTGCTGAGTCCTTGTTCATTTACTCCTTCGTTCAATAAATATGTACTGCCTGGGTGGCTGGGAAGGGAAAACAGACACATATTTTCCCCCCATGGAGCATCCAGTCTGAAAATAAACAAGCAACAACAAGGACAAGAGAAGGATGGCAAATTAAGTGGATTTTAGAAATCAAACCTGTTTTGGCAGTTGAATGTGGGAGAATAGCACTTAGCAAAGTATGAAAAGTGAAATGATCTATTTGGGTTGAGCTCTACAGCATTACTGGGAGACAGGGACTTTCTAGATGCCCTTAGCAACCAGGTATCATGATGGATGACAAAAAGAACGTTTAACAGAAATGAACTTGTCCAATTATCTCTGCACTTGACTTCATACAAGACTTTCTTATATAAAGAGCCACTTTACAAAATAACATTGAACTGAGTAGAGGTGGTTATTGAATAACATAAACCTCTTTTTTAATTTTTGGGGAAAAAAGGATTATTCCCATTGTTGGTTTATGTTGTCATCTTTGAATACAATGGAAAAAACGTGTTTATACACAGAAAGGAAATAAAACCCAAGTATTTCCAATATTCATCCAGGAAATGAGCACAACATGTGGAACCCGAACTTGGCTTTGTCTTATTCCCCAGTCCTTTGCTGTTTGGCTACAGTTGGCCACCCAGTCTCTCCAACGTTGGCGGCCTCACCCTGGGGATCTTGGTGTCAGCAAGAAAAGATGCAATTGCAGTTAGGTGCAAATGTGAAAATTTATGTTAAATGTGTTAAATTATAGCTAATGAGATTCCAGGCATTTCTTGGTAATATGCAATGGAATTTATAACAATATGCTTGTATAAAACCATGCTACTGAAACTTCTTGGCTTCCAGTTTATAAGTAAAAATTTAAATTAAGTATGAAGATAATTAATACGATGAAAGGTTGAGTGTCTTAGTCCATTCAGGCTTCCATAACAGAATGCCATAGACTGGTGGCTTAGAAACAGCAGAAATTTATTTCTCACAGTCCTGGGGGCTGGGAAATCCAAGATCAAACTGCCAGCAGATTCAGGGTCTGGGAAGGGCCAGGCTCCTGGTTCATAGATGGCTGTTTTCCATGGTGCCCTCACATGACAGAAAGAGTGGGGGAGCTCTCTGGGCTACCTTTTTCAAGGCCACTAATCCCAAGAAGCAGAGCCCTCATGATTTAATCACCCCATAAAGGCTCCACCTCCGTATAACATCCCATGGAGATTTGGTTTTAGCATGTGAAATTTGGGAAGGGCATAGGTGTCCAGTATGTAGCAGTAAGTAATACAGATTGTATTGTCCAGAAGAAATAAGAGAACTTTGGTTTTCAGTCACTTGTATTCAGTTTTTAAACATTAGTCTACAGAGCTAGAAAAAGCGTTAGCATCCAAACTTATCTCCTAACTTGTGCTAATGAGCCTGGCCATGGGCTGAGCCTGGTCCCTTCATCAGACTTTTCTCTTTTGAGTGCAAGAGTAGTTGCAAAATAGTCTACAGAGATGTATATTTCACAATTGACCTATAATTGCCTTATTCAAATGTATTCTTTCTCTATCTTTATAATTTTAAAAAATACTGTCTATTAATGTAGTATCTAACGAGAAAAATAGCTCTGGCATAATAATTATGAATATTATTTATCTGGCTTTACTTTGACCATACCTGTGAACATACTAATGTATATTTGTGGTCTAGTATGCATATTAATAGCAATCTGTTTGACTCTCAAAGATGTCCTATTTTGGATGATAAATTATATATTTAATTTAGCACTTTCTGTGTATATGGCTCTGTGTTAAGTGTTTGATACCTGTTATCTCATTTAATCCTAAGCAACCAAACAAATAAACCTGTGTGATTTCTGCCATTGTCTATGACAGAATAGCTGGTATCAGCATCATCCTCATATTGCAATTTAATGGGCCAAGAACTTAGAGAGAAGGGAAATATGCTTCAGTGAACTTGGCATTCTCTGTTGCTTCTTTTTTTTTTTTTTTTTTAGGACATTTGTCTGTGTGCTGTGCAAGGAAAAGAGGCTGAGAAGAAATAGTGGTTCAGAGTTTCTGTATGCACATTACATATAGAAAAGTACACAAATCATAAATATTCAGTTCAAAAAAAATCTTCACAAAGTAAATGCGTCCATAGAACTACTGCCTAGATTAAGAAGCAACAATTCCAGCATCCTAGTAGGTGCCTCTTTGGGGCATTACCCATGAACATGGGGACCTCTCTCCTTTGTTAGTTTTGCCTGTTTGTGACTTTATATAAATGGAATCATACAATATATACTCTTTGTTTTTGGCTTTTAAAACTCTATTTTGTAAAATTGATCCATGTCGTTCTGCAAAATAGTAGTTTGTTCATTTTAATTGCTGTAGAGTATTCTGTTGTATAAATAGGCCACAATTTGTTTGCTCATACTTCTATTAGATGGGGATTGTGTCCAGTGTTTGGCTGTTATGAATAGTGTGCTGCTATAAATATTATTTGGTGAATATATACTATCCATAGTATATACACACTTTTGTTGACTATATGCCCAGGTGTACATTAGGGTTATAGTGTTTGCATATGTGCATTGTTAGTAGATACCATTTTCTAAGGTGGTTGTACCAGCATACATTAAAATTTATAATTTAACAAAACCATTGAATTAGGTAATTGTTAGCCCCCTTACCAAAAGATTTTTTGTTTTATAAGAATACTTAAGAGTAACTTGCTTGTCATATTTAAAGATGTATCCAAGTTGCTATCTAATTTCTGAGACATACATTTAATGGGAAAAGCAATATGCAGGATAATTTTATTTTTGTTTGTTCTTCAGGTAAAAATCCTGGAAGTGAAAACATAGAATACAAAATCACACTTTTCAGTTCTTACTAAATCAAAATCAGAAATTCCAACTATGGGTATTATTATGCTGGCATGCTAAATGGTCTACCTGAGGGTCGCAGGAAGGAAATAATTTCTTAGTACTAATTTTGTTTTGTTTTATGTTGATTCTATTAAAAAAGATGAATTTTGTCTCTTCAAGTATTTATATACCTTATTTCATTTGCATGGCTAATTGTATTAGCTAGTCTTTTAAAAATTATCTTATAAATGTGAGAGTGAGCTGTCTTGCTTTCTTTCTAACTTTAATAGAAATGCAATTTATGTTTCAGTGTTAGATAGACCCTTACATCCAACCCTCATAGTCAAAGCATATTCTTCCTCCAAGCTTCACAAATGCTGCTCTGTTATAACAGGTTCATGTTTTTTTCCTGCTTTGTCTTTGACCTCACGCTTTCACAATGCAGGATTAGTCAAAACTTAGGGTTTTCAGTAGAAAGCTGAATTATCTATCTTTGCTCCTACTCTGGACCTGGTATAATGGCCTAACATCTTTCTCGAATTTTCAGATGGGGTACAGGCTGTTTTACATATGAATTTATTTCTAGAAGCCTTTTATTTAGTGTTTTAGTGTATCCCTACATTACCGTGGTGGTATCTTCCTTACTCCACTATTTTTGATAACAGTATTGAACACAAGACAAAAAGTATAGTCCTTAATACTGCTCCAAAGTCTGGCTCATCTCTGCCTCTTCCGTACTATTTTCTCTGCTTACTCTAGCATTGATTGTGCCTGGAGGTCGATTCTTGCCTTTTAGAGCAGTTCCCATGGGTCCTGGTGCCACCTGCCTGCTCTCTGCTCAGTAGGATCTCTGCATATTTGAATCTGTGCAGCGATGACGTCAGAGGTGGAAAGCCTCTTTGTCAAGGAGACTCTGTCCATTCACCATGCCATGTGTTTAAGCCCTGATAGATGTTTCACAATCTAGATCCAACTTTCTTATAATTAATGCCAATGGCACCTAGATTTTGGTGTTAGGTTGACTATCAATCATAGCTTTTCTGTGTGTTGTCATTGTGTCCTTTTTTGCCGAGTGTTCATTCGTATTTAATGAGAAGTCGGGGGAGCTATGCTGGGAACCACTCACTGGTCTCTTGTATGTTTACTCCTCAAGATACCTGTTTATATTTAACTGATCCTAGTTGAGTTTCATAGGTTAAGTTTGGTCAAAACATGTTGGCTATATTTCAAAATCTTGTACTCTGATCTCCTGGAAAGTTTGCAGGATCATGCTGAGTCATTCAGTAGAGACAGCCTGGAGTTTGTTAATTACAAGTAGTTTAAATAAAATCTGTCCTAGGAATAAATGATAGGGACAAAGGACAAAACAGCCATGGTTAAAAAAAGGAGGCAGGGCTAATTCTGCAGGGTATCCCAGTTACCAAGCTATTTTTCTCCTATAACACTTCTCGCAATTGTGATTGAATTATTTTGTAACTAATTGTTTAACGTTCACCTATTGCTTCTAATGCAAATGCAACGAAGATAAAGACTGTATCTGTCTCTTTCATTGCTGTATCTCCAGCGACTAACATAGGGCTGCTCCTAGTAACTGCATGAAAAATATGTATCTAATGAATGAATAAAGGTTACCACTGTCTCAATCCACTTCCATACCATACCCAAAAAGGCATTCCTGCCTGAGAGAAACACTAGCCCTTAGTAGTAGAAATTAGTCCTTTTGAAAAATTCAGACCAGGTAAATGAGTCATAACTGACAGTAACTGTATGTGTCAAAGAAGTGCTTTTTATTGTACTCAAACTCTGAGATGATAAATGCTAAGATAGAGATGATCAAGAAGAAAAATCACACTTTATTTGAATTATAATTTACTAAAGAAGCAAAAAATAATCAGCAGCATAAAAATTGAGGTTACCCTCAAAAATGTTTATAGAGTTAGTTTAAAAAACTAAAATATAACTTAAAACAATGGTATTAAGTGTCCATATGTGTTTGCACAATCTTTTGGATATACAGATTTTTGTGCAGTGATTGTCAGAAACATAAAGCTATTGCATGATCTTTCCAAACATTCTCAAATTATGGTCTAATGTCTTAAATCATAAGAAGTACCTCTAGTCACTAAAGTAAGCATCTCCATTTGGCTTGATATATGTTTAGTCTATTTCTTCCTGGCAAAAATATTTTAGCGTAAGTGTCCAAGCCTAAGGCTGACAAAATGTTTTCTTTTCTACTCATTTGTGTGGTCTTGTTTAATAAAAATTACATATAAAAAGCTAACTAGAATTTGTTCATGGGAAAAATATATATCTATACAAGCAGTTTACTTAGCACTAAGAATAACCTATGAAAGGTAGGTGAGTTCTAAGTGAGAAAAAGCAAGAAAACATTTCTTTCTGCTATTTCCTGTTCTAGCTATTTAATTACAACTTTGCCTTCTTGCATTTAGAAAAAAATGAAAATCACACAATAATAAGGAAATCATTTTAATTTTTGTGAACATTTTAATTAATTAATTAATTTATTTTTATTCTTTTTTATTTCAGAATATTATGAGGGTACAAACATTTTGGTTACATGTAATGCCTTTGTCTTGCTCAAGCCAGATGAAATTTATTTTATACTCTTGAAATACCCAGAAAAAGAAAATATCCCATTGAATCAGGTATGTCAATCGTCTGACTTTCTCACTCTACGTTTAGCTGCTCCACGTTTTCCTGGTAGAGGAAATAACAAAATCATGAAGGATTATATATTGATAATTTTTATGTCCTTTCCAAATAATAAATAAGGCTGTCTTTCTTTCTTTTTTGTAAAGTTGCTTTAATATCTAAATTCTAAACTTATTTTTCTTTAAAATTCATTGAAAGATGATCCTCCTCAGCCATGGATTGATCCAGACATGATAATTAACCTCAGTTTCCTCATCTATGTAATGGGGATAATAATAGCATCTACTTCAAAAGGTAATTTTTTTTTCCTTTTATTTCATCACATTATGGAGGTACAAATATTGTTAGGGTTATAAATATTGCCCCTGCCCCCCCCCCCATGTGTCCAATCCCCCGGTGGTGTGCACCACACACGTTATGGAAGCATACACCCCTTTCCTCCTCCCCCCTCCCACCTGCCCACCACCCGATAAAAAGTTTTTGTTTTTTGACATTTTGGTTACATTGTATATCTTTGGCTCTCCCTAAGAAGGGTTAGAGTTTTGCCCTTCCCCTCCGAAGTGCTCGCCACATGCTCACAATGGAATATTACTCAATCCTAAGAAATGACAGTGAGCTAGCACCGTTTATGCTATCCTGGATTAAGCTTATGCCCATTATCCAAAGCGAGGTGACACAAGGCATGGAAAATGGGCCCCATATCTACTCACCATCATTTGGTACTGACTGATTAAAACTATGGTTTTCAAATGGTGGCAATGCTCACCAGGGATTTGGGGGGGTGGAGGGGCCCAATCTTAGGGATGTGGCAAACATTTTTCTTTATAATACCTTAGCACTTTTGCTCTCGCCATTTAGTAATGCATAGATGTTGATTTGTTTCTACTTTTTGGAAACTTTGGACAGGAAATTATGCATCCCTATTACATTGTTATTATACTACTAGTATGTGGATGGGATGACAACTACTCTGGAGTCAGAAAGTATGTCCTGAATTGTTTTTACGTGCATGACATGTTACTGACGTGTTCTAAGAACTTATAACATAAATGCTAAGACAAGACGTATGTATGTAGAATAAATCTATGTCCCCACAAAGCAGTGTGTGACAAGCTATTAAAGTGGGCAGTTGAGACTGGCTGTAGAAATGTGGAAAGGAGGACTACCCCAGCAGGCTGGAAGTGAATGAGCATGTCTTAGAGTTTAAACCTAAAATGGATCCTGAGAAGAGTAGGTTTAAAAAAGAAATGAAGAGGTGAAGGTCATTTCCACTAAGGAAACAGTCTGAGCGAGGATTTTGAGTTGAGAGTGGGTAGAGCGAAGAACCCTTGGGCTGTGGTGGAGCTGGCCGTGAGGGGTGGCCAGCAAAGGAGGGTGGTGAGCTCTAAGCTTGTGAGTTTGGATTCTAGCTTTTAGACTCTAAGGCTGAACTTTTTCAAAAGGGAGGAGATGCTAAAACTTACTCAAATTTGGAAACCACATGTAAGATAAATAGGAATATAGGGGCAGCAATGGCAGAAAGAGTATATATGCTGCACTCCAGAAGTGACAACACTAGGGGTACGGTTGTGGAAGTAGATGGAGGTGATGGAGATGCACTTTCTCATTTTCTTGTCCTTCATACCCGTGTTCTTAGATGTTTTCACATTTTTTTTTTTTTTTTTTGCATGGAGCTTCTAGAAGAATGATGGTGCTAGAGAGGTTGAGGTGGAAGACTTCTTTTATGAGGATAAGGAATTTGACTGCGGTCATGGTGATTTTGGGGAGTTTGGTTGTCCAAATGGAAATGTCCCTGAGGCAGCCAGAGATCCAAGCCAGAATTACCCAAGAAGACAGAACAGAGAGACAGATCTGAATTATCATCAAAGGAGCAATGAGTAAAATAAAGAGAAACTGTAATGATAAAGTTCTGATGCTTCAGATAAAGGGCTAAAGACAACTTTGGAAAATTTGCCCAGTTAGTGGCTGGGAGGAGGAGGAGAAAGTGTAAATGAGTGGTGGGAGACAGAAAAAAACAATGTCAGTCAAGTACAGTGTCAGAAACAACAGGTGTGCACTGCTCCATGCTGTTTAAAGGTCAAGTCTGAGGACTGTGAAAACACCTTTGATTTGCCAAGAAGAGAGTGATTTAGCCTTTGGGGGAGGCACATTTGCGTGGAGGAGCGTGAATAGAAGTGAGACTGCAGGGCACTGGGAATGACCTGGGGTTGTAGAAATGAGTTAATGATTGCATCTTGCCAATCTAAGAAATTTGTCAGGGCAAAGGACAAGGGCACGGCTGTAATCAGGGAAAACACAAGGGGCAAGCAAGACATTTTCCAAATGGGCAAACATGAAAGACGCAAGATACGGAGATTTAGTCATATAGAGCTTTTGAAGATGGCTGGGGAATGATGGAATGAATACATGAGCTGTGCACAGGTAGGAAGGGAGGACCCAGGTGGAGCCTTCTTTACCTTGGTGAGGGATGGAATTTATTTCATAGAGTTTGGCAACAGGGTCTAAAGGAGTATAGGTGAGGGAACTAATGTCGGATGGCCTTTTTTTTTTTTTTGTAAGAAAATAAGGGCAGGGATTTGCTGGCAACAGTAGAATGGAAGAGTGAGAATAATAGAAATATTTATATAGTAGATCTTCATATATCAGCCCTGCATTTAATTTATGTGACTTTTACCAAATATGCTTTGGAACAAAAAGGCAAGGTAACAAGTGCCTTCAGTTTCACAGGGATAAATTATTGAATCTATTCTCCATGTTAAGAATGCTTTTTATTTGGCCATGAAATGAAAATATTAAGTGTATCTTGTATAGTGGATGCTGCGATGTGCATCCAGATCCTCCTCTGGATGGAAGAACCTATTTCCCCAGCTGCTGGGAACACTGCCAGGAAACACTCTTGCTGTCATCCTATTTTGGAGATTGCCTTGGTTGAAGAAATTTGCCTCACCCAAGGTCATGGCCCCTTCTGGATGGCCCATATCCAGTGATTGATCAATACAGGGTGTAAAAACCTGACCCCTCTCTCCGCTGCAGGGAAGAAATCTGAAGGTCCAAGTTCCAGAGCTTCCCGCAGGGTTTGCTGAATTCTTCAATAACGTTGTATCCTGCTTTCATCCCTCCTTTTAACAAGTGCTCAAGAACACTTCCTGAATGTCTTTCTCCAGGAAAGCAACTGCAACAGTGCAAAGATTTATTCTTCCATGTGCTATAAATGCTGTTAGCAGACAGCCATCCAATGTCAGTCTTCTTTAGAATTTGTCTCAGCTGAAGACAACCTTCCCTACCAAATCATGTCTCCTTCTAGGGACAGCTCATGTTCAATGACTGGTTGATGTGGTGTCATCTTCACTCCATGGCGTTGGCTGAGGCCTTAGTTGGGACTGCACTGCAGCTCAACTTCTCCTTGTGCTCAATTCTCATTCCATCCTTCCTTTCCCTTCCACAGGTGTGATTCCAAGGGCATGCCTTAATCATCTTCTGCACGCTAAGCTCCAAACCCAGGTTTTATTTTTGAACATGAATTTTTACTTTTGGAAAGTACTCCACTAAAGGAGTTTTTATTTGACTCTGGAAATTAAATAAGTTGTTAATACATTTTACTGCTTTTCATGAAAACATTTTTCTCCAGTGCTCATGGTTTATAGTTTTTAAAGGTCCACCAATAATGCCACCTGGTTTACTATGTTTGTGTATAATGTTTTGCTCCATTGATTTCAATTATTAAACATTCTTATTTTAAAATTTATTTGAGTTTCTTTCTATTAAATTAAATTTCTAACTGCCTGATAGCTCTACAGGATATTAATCAATACAAGTGCCTTTTTAGTCAATGCAATATCTAGAAGATGATTTGTTATTCTTTTCCTGAATATTGAAGACAACATAGAACTATTTCTATAATGCTGATAACTTTAGCTGAATGTGGCAGAAATTGTTAGTTGCTTTCCAATATTTATTTCCTCTTTATTATTTAGTTACAAATTCTTTTTTTAGAGGAGAGAATAATGTTACTTTGTTAAATACTACATTTCTCATTTTCTTTTGCAGCTGGGTATGCCATGTGACAAAATTTTCAGCATTTGGAATGTAGTGGAAAAGACACTTGCAACTTCTAAGAAGGACAGTTACCTGCTCTTGGATGTGGTCACAAGGGCAGGAGCTAGATGAGTGACCTTGGACCATGTTGAGTATGGCAGGACAAGACAGATAGAGCCTGTCTCCCAACATGGGCTGCCATATTACTGAAGACTTTTGTATAAGAAAAAATGAAACATCTTTAAACCATTATTATTTTGGGTCTCTCTGTTATAGGTGCCAATTCATTTCCTTAACTAATCCTTTAGGAATATGCATGTCTGAAAGATGCTTCATAATGTTATATACATGTAATCATTTAGTAGTTATTGCCAATAGGTTGGGAAATATACAAATTCTATTTGTGTCCTGTGGGTAAGTGGTAGCATGCCAGAGAGCTCAAGAACCCATAGAATCAATATGACATATCTTCTCTAAGTATTGACTTTACTAAAAGTTTAATAAAGAATAAATTTCAGAAACTTCCTTAAGATAAATAAGTTATTTTAATATTCATATAAATATGCATTAAAGTATAACTCAAAATTACCATAATTTTTAAAATATGAAACTTAAAAGACATTTAATGCTTGAGGTGTGCTACTTGTTGTTATGTCTCCCACCCAACCAGTGGGCTTCTGTTCCCAATCCCTTTGCTTTTATGGTGCTTGTGGAGAAACTTTTGAAAAACACTTGTCTATGCAGATATTCTGTCTCAATGTCAGGAGCTCTCAGGCTGGATCAAAATGACCTTTTTCTTATTTACATCAGCATTTAATTTTCTTCCACATGGCTCATGATACCATTAATTAAACTGACACTTTGGTATTTTAGAAATATTGTATGTTGGGAGTTTTAGAACTAACTTTTGTGGGTTTTTTTTTTTTCACTTTATTCTTTGAGTGTTTCAGATACTCTTATTACCATTTAAAACAGAGGTCTTATTTATTCCAGCTCAGTAGTTATACATGGCTGAGTCTGGCTCAGACCAGGGAGGCCAATTTATTGTTTTTGGCTGTCCTTTTTCAACTTTGTTATTTAAACCCTTGAGGAGCTGCATGCTAGTATTTGAGTGTGTGATAGTGTTTGAGGGATTCCAAGCACAGAAAGCAGAATGTAAGAATGCTGCTTGGGTTCTACTATAAAGTAGAAGGTGTAAAGTAAGTATAGAGTCCAAAATGCAAGTATAAATGAATTTTCTTCCTGATTTGGATTAGACATAGCCCAGATTTCAACCTCTAGAATATAAAATCTAAGCGCTAACAATGGGGATGAAGAATAGATAGTTGAAGATATTTAATATAATTTAGAACATGAACATTTTAGGGTAGCTTTCGAATGTCAAACTGAGCTAATTGAGATAGATGGCAGCTGGCGTTTGTGAAAGCCAGGTAGGACACCTTTGGTCTGTGCCATTATGAAATGCATCTGTTTGCGACGGGGATGGCAGAAAAGGTTGGAGAATGCTTTGGCCCCACACTAACTGTCAACAAAGGGTTCCTTTTCCTTAGCCCAGTGACTACTGAAATTACAAAATTGGAAAACAAAAAGGCAGCTATTCTTTGTGCTTTCAGATCAACCTCAGAGTGCTGGCCTAATGCGGGGCAGCATGAGGAGTATAAAGAAAGAGGAGCAAACAAACAAATGGGAGAAATGGCTCATGAAACAGAGAACAATGCAAAGCCACTGGCAATTAACTGCCAAAACGCCATGGAAGTTGCATTTGGAGCGTGCTGGCCAATTGATCATGGTACTTGGCAATGTTAGCTGCAGCTGAAGAACAGACTAAAAAGCTGAGGTGCTGTGAAGGGGACCCTGAACACAGTCACGGTTCTGTTTCAACAACTCAGTAACAAATGCTGTCCCTTGGCGAGAAAAGTAGAGTGGAGAAAGGAGCAGTGGAGGGGGGACCTGGCCTGCCACAGAGAAGAGTGAGCAAGTTGCTGATCTGCTCTGGGCCTCGTTCTCATCCCTCTAACGTTTCTCGGTGATTGAGATGGGGTGCTTGGTTTACAACCTCGGCATCCAATGGTGCCTACTTAGGCAGAAGAGCAATTTACTGGAAAGGCGTGAGGTTGTTTACAGAATCTAGGAGAATGCTGAAGGAACCTGGTTAACTTTGGGAGCCTAGAATGTACGAAAGGAAGACTGCCCCTCCCCTGCCCCAGGTTGAATCCAGCCTTTGGGCCTTTTGCTCAAGAGTCCCCATTTGATCCAGCAATTCCACTACTGGGCATCTACCCAAAAGATCAAAAGTCACTTTATGAAAAAGACTCCTGCACTCGAATGTTTATAGCAGCACAATTCACAATTGCAAAGATGTGGCAACAACCCAAGTGCCCATCAATTCATGAGTAGATTAATAAAATGTGGTATATGTATACCATGGAGCACTACTCAGCTTTAAGAAACAACGGCGATAGAGCACCTCTTGTATATTCCTGGAACTCATTCTATTAAGTGAAGTATCTCAAGAATGGAAAAACCAGCACCACATGTACTCACCAGCAAATTGGTATTAACGGATCAACACCTAAGTGGACATATAGGAGTAACATTTATCGGGTGTCGGGAGGGTGGGAGGGGGGAGGAGGGAATGGGTATATACAAACACAATGAGTGAGATGTGCAACGTTTGGGGGATGGACACACTTGAAGCTGTTACTTGAGAGGGGAGAGGGGGCATGGGCAATATATGTAACCTTAACACTTGTACCCCCATAATACGCTAAAAAAAAAAAAAAGAATCAACTTTCAGGCGTAACAGTCTGATTTGCCCAGTTTGGGTCACACAAAGGAGACTGAGAATGGGTTTAGGCTTTGCTTGACAGAGACCCTCCAAACACTACCCAGTGAAAAAGGTGTGGAAGGGGAAATGTATGCTATCTCTGCTCACTTACCAGTTAATTTACAGCACCACTCTGGCTTTGGGTGTTGGTAGTTACATTATCTTGGGCAAGTTAATTCAAATCATTTGTACCTCAGTTTTTTCATGTGTAATGATAGTATATAATTCAAAAGTTTGTTGTGAGCATGCATTAATGTGTGTTAAGTCTGGTGGAGCATGGCGAACACTATAAATGTTCTTTCTTAATCTTTGGAAGGAAGGATTAGTGTGTGGTTTAGGAAATGTCATGAATATCTGCAAGCTTGCTTGTTTTTTCTATGCAGAGATATATTAATGGCTCTCTCATATATATCTGTGCTTATCAATTTCTGAGTGTTTTATTATCATTGATTGTTTATGAGTACTTCTTTGGGTGTGTATGGTGCTAGAGATACAGAAATACACAATATGGATTTGGCCTCAAGGGGAATTGTAAAATGCTAAATAAACGTGAGGTGATAAGCACATCAAATATAAAACATATGTGGTAACATTTTCAGTGCTAGTGGAGGCTAGAATGGTTACATAATTTTTCTTAAAGAAAACTTTTTTTACTTATTATATATCATATTTTCAAAAAAGTTCATATACCAGAAGTAGATGTTTCAATGGATTTCCAAGGTGAACACACTCGTGTACCTACTACCTTGATCAAGAAATAGAACATTTCTAACAATCAAGAAGTATTCCTTGGGCTCTGCCCATTCAATATCTACCTTTCCATAACGGTAACAAATATTCTTACTTCTACCACCATAGGTTAGTTTTGCCTGTTTCTGAACTTTGCCTAAGTGGAATCACCAATATGTATTCCTTTGTACCTGGTTTCTTTTGCTCAACATCATATTTGTGAAATTCATTCATGCTGTTGTGAGTAGCAGTAGTTTGTTCTTTTCTATTGCTGTACAGTATTCTATTGTTTAAGTATATTAACATTTATTTATTTATTCTACTGTTGGTGGTCATTGGTATGGTTTTCTGTGTGGGCTATTATAAATGGAGATGCTATGATCATTCTTGTACCAGTCTTCTGATGCACATATGCATACATTTTCTTACAAGTGTATTGCTAGGAGTTGGATTGGTAGGTATGTGTATCTCCAGGTTTAGTATCTAAGCCAGTCATATCAATTTGTATTTCCACCATCAGTATTTGAATGTTCCAGTTTCCACACATTTCGATAAACGTGGCATGGTCATCTTTCTTAATTTCACCCTTTCTTGTGGGTGTGTGGTAATACTTCACTGTGGTTTTAATTTGCGTTTCCGTCATGGCTAATGGTTACTTTGTAATGTTGTCATCTTTGGTAAATAAACTTATTAATTCAAATACTTTGTAGATTCTTTTGGATTCTCCATGCATACTGTTATGTTATCTGAAAATAAGGACAGTATTTTTCCCCTTCCCATCCTAATTTTTTTTTTTTTTTATTGCCCTGGCTAAAGTACAATATGGATGATCAGATTATTTTTATCCTGAAGGAAAATTACACTGATTTTTGAGTTTTAAATTAACCTTGCATTCCTAGAATGAACTTAATTTAGTCATAATGTATACATGTTTAATTTTTTATTGATTAATTAAATATTATAATATTTTGACTCATAAATCATTGACATTTATATTACTTAGTTTCTAACACTTGTGAATTTTCTACCTAATTTTTTCTTCTCATTTCTAGCTTAAGTCTACAGTGTTCAAAGAGCATAACTCCAAATCATTTCAATTTCTTGATGTTAGTGAGTCTTGCTTTAGGGCCTAGCATACTGTCAATTTTAGTAAATGTTCCATATATACTTGAAAATAATACATATTCTACATTTTCTAGGTACAATTTTTTATATGTTCAATTTATTCAAATCTCCAATAGCCTTATAAGTTTTTGGTTTGTTTTCTGACAGTCACCAAGAGAAATAAGTTAAATATTTTTATTATGTTTGTGAATTTGTGTATATTTTAATTTATCAATTTTACTTTATATATTTTGAGCTATACTACTAGAGACATATGCATTTAAGATTGTTATATATCATTCTTTTATTTTGTATGATATTAATATAGCTAGACCTTTTTTGTTGTTAGTATTTGTATAATATATCTTTATCCCCTTAATTTTAACATTTCCAAGGCCTTATGTTTCAATGTATCTTGTAAACATACTATATATACATATAATATATGTTTTTCTCTCTGAAAATCTTTCTATTTTTATCCTGAGTGTTTAATCTATTTTAATCAATATAACTACCAATATATTTGGGTTTATATATGCCATCTTATTATTTATACCACTTGTTTTATATTTTCTCTTCTTTATTGACTTAGTTTTTTGGGTTTTTTAAATTTTTATTTTTAATTGACATGTAATAATTGTACATATTTATGGGGTACAGAGTGATATTTTGACACATTTTTACAATGTGTAATTATCAAATCAACATATCTATTATCTCAAACATTTCCCATTCCTTTATGTTGGGAAGATTCAAATCTTTTCTTCTAGCTACTTGAAAATAGAC